TAATTTTCGGCGTTTAAAATAATATTTCAGAAAACAAACCCCACCACGTTTCTGAGCACACATTAGAGTATCACTGGAAAGAATAAGAAGATTTTTTATTTTTCCTCATGTGCCACGTATTCTCGATTTTGCTCGGTTTTAGTGGACATTGTCTCTTAAGTAGGTGACTAAAACAGCAGTGCAAATGCCCCACCCTATGGCCTATAGGGGTACTGTACATAGAAGCACAAGTTGGATTATTGAGATGTTATTAATCCATTTTATAAAGGCACATGCAGTGTAATCTGCTAAACAATAAATAATTTTTAATTATTTTTCTACTATATTTTAATATTATGTAGATCATCTTTGCATGAAATTGAACTACCAAATTTAAAGGAATTGTCAGGAGGTGACAACAAAATCGGAGAAGGAACATTTGGTGTATGTGAAAAAAAAATTACCGAGGGTTTGTGGTTGCTGTGAAACAATTTAAAGGAAAAGCTAGCAGAGCTGATGTCGAACAAGAAGCCATGATGATCAGCTCATTTGATCACCCAGGTACAAGTTAATTAAAAAACAAATGTTTGTTATTAAGTTTAGTTGGAGTTAAATTTCTGGAATGAATAATGTCACTTAAAGACCATGTACTGTAAAGTCCGTTCTACGCATACGTTCTGCGCAGGCTTACATTCCAATGGTCGAGACCCGACCATTGGAATGTTATTAATATTTCCTATCTTGTGGACTTTCTTGAATTTAATATGTATTCATTTTCAAGCATAGTGAACCAGAAAAGTGTTAAAAATTCAGTATATGTAATATATATCTAATCATATTTTACAACTGTAACACTGAGTGCAAAGTGTAAACAAAGCGTTTGTTTACATTTTTAATACGGACTTTACATGGTCTTTAAAGAGGCGGTCAAGTTTGTAATGTATAAACAAACACTTTGTTTTACATTTTGAACTGCTATATTTTTAAAATATGATATACTAACTGAATTTCTAACACTTTTCTCATCTGGTTTGCTATGCTTTTAAATGAATATAACTACAGTGTAGAGTTTCAATTGAAGAAAGTTTGAAAGATGCGATTGGGACTTGACCATTGCCTGGAATGTATGCCTGTGCAGAATGTATGCACAGAACGCAAATGACCACCTCCTTACAGTCGATTTCACAAAACGTTTTCTAAACAATTTCCAAAATTGCTCATTAACAGAGTCATACAGATAAACAAAATAAAACTAGCCATATTAAAAAATTGTCATAACAAAAAGGCTTGAATGCAATAGTTGTTTTTTGACATTTAGGTCCGGTTGGTAAATTCTTTAATTAAATATATATTTGAAACATCAACCAGTCACAGTCATGAGCATCGATTGTAACAGCCGTGTTCACCTGTAACCGGCTTACTTTGCTTTGATTTATAAGTTGCTTGCATTCTGATTTGTGCTATTGTGCAATATTACTTAAATAGCCTAGTCAACAATGAATACTGTCAACCCATATAACACCTTAAGTGGCTCATCAGCTAGTATTAGTTATTGGAGAAGGCACACTACAGTACTTCCCTGTCAATCAACTGACCCCAGACTGTCAATGATTTTTGTTTAATTTTCATACACTATGTCAATAGTGTATGTCATCTATACAAGTATAGGGGGTGCCATTTGAGCCTAAAATATGTGAATTAAAACACTTTCCAAACTTTATTATGTGTTTTCTTTATAAAAGGTCTACCTTTTCTAATTGGTGTTCATGTCAAATCCAAACCATATGCACTGGTTACTGAATTCCATGGAATTGGTGGGCAATGTATTACTGTTGGTCATGCGGCAAAGACCCTCTCTCTGGAAAACATGGAATGGGCTGTTGTTCTGCAGAAATGTGCTGCTGCTTTGGCTCATATTCATGATAAAGGGTATATCCATGGTGATATTAAGCATAATAATATTTTTTGCAAAATAGCACAGGTTCTATGAACCAGTTATTATAGATTTTGGGAAAATGAAAAAAGCCGAAAATGCTAAAATTTATAAATTGAACTCAAAGGAGCGAGATCGCTACTTAAAGTGCTACAAACATATAGCGCCAGAAATAGTTTGGGGGAAAAGTGCAGCATCTCCTGCCAGCGACATCTACTCATTTGGGCAAGTCATCTCTCTGGTTGTTTATTACACAAAATTAACTGGTTTGCAGAAAATAGCCAAAGCATGCATAAATGGAACGCCTGAAAGACGGCCTACAGCTATTAATGTGGCCTTGGAACTTACTGAACTTTATAAACAATGAGCACTGCCACTGCACATATGCACCACCCTGGAGCACTGATCCATATTTAAGCAATAACTGAATTATACATCTCTACTGTTGTATACGATCTTAATATCACAACTGTGGATTAGAAAACTCATTTAAGCCATTTACAACATTTGAGTCCGTGTTGTGTCAATGATATAAACACTCGCCTTCTGCTCTAGTTTGTATCTACTGATACTGTACATTACACGGCCACTTATGTGGCAAATAGTATGTGTAATCCAGTTAACATGGAGACTGTACATGTCAGGCCCTTTAACCTTGTATACGTGGAATTTCTCAATTCCCGCTTTTTTTGTCCCATCCCAGTCTAATTATTAGAAAAAGTGAAAGGGTTTAAAAAGAGGTCCAAACCAAAAGCCTATTGCAACCCTACTTATACGTATTCCAGTTTAGTTATTGATAAACTCAAATAAACATATATGATTATTTCCAAATGAAATAATTTATTTAGCACACATTTATCAATAAACTATTAGAACGAATTTCTATTTTAGCAAAATTCGTTTATATAACAACTTGTACTATATGTACACATAATCAGTGAACAAAGCCGTTATGTCTTTGTTCAGTTATTTCACTTTGGCTAGTCTTATCAGGCATTTAATACAGGCATATTTTTTGCATAATTACAACACGTTGTTCGTTTAATATGAATGATAAAATGACTGCTTACAGTTTTTAACTAGAGAATGGTAAAAAGTTTGAAACGATTTTATAAAATTAGGTGACCTGAATATAAGGATAACCTCAAGGTCCAGCTTTCAAACAATCACGGTTTGAATAAACAGTATATATTTAAAACAGCGTGTACTGGTCAGTAATATAACCTGTATTTCAGCCAGTTTTCCAACCCCACCATGTTAACTTTCCCTATGGAAACAAACCGGAGTACCACACAGGCACCCACACGACTTTCGGCAGAGCGTTAACCTGAAGTTCAGGCCCTAATTTGAAATAGGGCCTGACACAAAACCTGTCTAGACCGTGAGACGCCCACATGTTATTTTTAGACACACATGCAATATGATTGACAAGTGTTGTAGATTTCGTTACACAAAAAAATTATATTCTCATGAACGTGTCCGCAGAGCATTTTGCTTTTTAATTAAACTTAAAAATTCAAGGTACTTTTATATCATTAAGAGTCAGTTTCTCTATTTAACCAAACAGGCGAACAGCAAACAAAGATTTAATTAGACAGTTCTGTGCACGGCTTGACTGCCAAGCTTTCTCAAGGTCTCAACTTGCTGGACGCGGATATACTCTAACGACTAACTGGCTAATAACAGCAACAATTAAATTCTCAATCATACCACAAAGAAGGCGATGTAGCTCAGAAAACAACGCCGGTAGGACCTGATATTAAAAATAAGACTTTTGCCGGCGAAGCAAGTTGGCAGAACATCTTGGCTGTCAACAACAAGCTTTCAAATACATGACTAGTTTGGCTGTTCTTTCAGCGTCGTGTGTGTCCAAAATTCGTCAAAGATTTTGATGAAGCCCTTTCAAAATACTGTTTGTTTGATTTATTTTCTTCCATAAAGCATAAAAGAAAAGAAATTCGAAGAAATCGATAATGGAATTTGTTACGTGCGTTTGACCTTTATATTAATTCTCGCCTTGACCGAGCTATTTTTAAAACTGTTGTTTATGTGAACTTGCAACCAATCAAAATCCTTCATGATGCTGATCAACCAATCAGATTTCCCGTCCACCAGGTGGACGGGAATCCCACACTTTAGATAGGTTTTGTGTCAGGCCCTATTCTGTGATAGGGCCTGAACTTCAGGTTAGCAGAGCGTTGACTTACTGTTTTCATATGTATATACAGCTATTTCAATTAAGGTTGTCCACGAGCAAAGCGGAAAAGTCGAATACAAGCGTGAAAGGCTGCTGGGAATCGCTGAAGAATTAATGAGTTTTTTAGCGATTCCCAGCAGCATTTCACGCTCGTTTTCTGCTTTGCTCGGGGACAACCTTAATTGAAATAGCTGTATGTATCTATATATGTGAAAATCGAAAGGTACATAACTGAGAATCGAACCTCGACTTCAGAGCCGTGGCACGTGCTCTAATCACTGTGCACCCAAGCACCAGATAAAATGGACTTGCGTCGTCCATATAATAAGTTTGCATGATTTTCTCAGGCACACTGATGTACACGGTAGAGCAAAAACTGACCATATCGAGCGGCAATTCCATTTTGCCTTGTTCCTTGATACACATTTATGTATGTCGCCATTGTTTAAATTTCTTGACTGCAATTGCCGACAATATCACGATATCCCCTTTTCTATGAATGTATGATTTTAGACTAGTACCCAGGAATTTTGCATAATTTCGTAAAGATCTGAAATATTTCGTTGAAATCTGAAATTTCATTTTTTTAACACTGTATTTATAGATTTATAAATAAGAGCGCACGAGAGATTTGAACGCCGCCAACATAGGGAAATGTGTTTACTGGCTATGAAGGGACAAGAAAAAGCAAAACGGATAGAATTGCTGCTGTAAGTAAGGTTGCAGTAAAACTTGTTTCTTTATCTGCCTGACTTTTAGTGCAGCAATGGAATTAACTGCGCATTAGCCTGTCTCGCGCTCTTATCATCATTTTTAGGGTCTACCTCTAGCTAGTCTGAATCCTGAGGATTTATAATGGTTTATGTACATGTCAGTTGTGACATTGCATGTTTATTTAGACTGTATCGCGTGAAAGTAAGGTACCCTAAGAATGACGCATAATTGCGACTTTGGGAAGGCTTACTAAGAAACAAAATGTCGCAGTAGAGAAGAAAGAATATACCTTTTCTTCTTATCTTGATTTTCCTCGATGGCGATTGCGCATTTTTTCGATATGCGTTGTACAGGTAGGAATCTTGAAGATTTAACAGGCAGTGTATCTTTCACGCTTGCCACACACAAAGGGTTTAGATTAAAACTTGTGTCGTCGACGGTTTGATGCCACGTTACACAAGCAAAGTAAAACTTCACAAATTCCTCATCAAATTTCAATGAATGGGAAAAATAAAAGTCAACCATTCCAAACGACATTGCGCTGCGTGTTTGATCAATTTCACCGTCTAATCTTGGCCATGCTGCCAAAATCCCTGTCGATCGTTTACTTCTGTAAGCTGCTGCTGAACCAAATTGCTGATTAAAAATTTCAATAGTGCTATATTTGTAAATAGTTCTGCTGAGCTGTTCGATTAAAATATTCTTCTCTGGAAACATGATAGTGTATACTTTAAAAAGAAGAGCCAAATCGTCATTATCAACACTTCCTTCTTTGTACGAAGAGGTAGTTTTATGGCAGAAGTATTTTTCCAGTCAATTGCATTCAGTAGTGCCACATCGGTATTAAAGAAATTTAGGAGATTGGATAGAGTGAAAGCCGAATATGCATTTTTAGCATTGTTTTTCATTGAATTCATGACATCTTCAAAGAACGGCAGTAGATCTTTGTCTAGTGTCATATTGTCAAGGAAACGCAGTGTTGTTAGTTTTCGCATAAGTTGAAGCTCAATTGATCTGTTGTTCGTTGTGAAGCTTCCCAGTATGCCATTGTAACGCTCAAAGCTGAAACACCAAAATGAGTGGATAGGTCCATAATCTCGAATAATATCTTTCAAATGGCAGTGCAAGTGCATATTCGGCGTACAAAAGTTATCACCATATAGATTTTGGCATTCTCTACCAAACTTCAACAGCAAGAAATGTGAGCGTATGATATCATCATTGGTCAGAATGGGTTTGCACAAATATTGACATGCCAGTACATATGACTGCCAGCATTGAAAATGCTGTCTCGGTATAACGTTTTTCAATGCATACAAGGAATATACCAACGTCCAATTCTTCCATTGTTCTGCAGTGTACGAACCGTAATTTGACGAAATTACCTTTGGCAATCTTCCAATATCAACAGGCACCTCCAATCCTTCTATCCTGCTTTCTAGTGTCTGAAGGTCTTTCTTGTCCAGAATTCCCTCTGCTACCCAGTGTTTAAAAATATGTTTTGCGGTACCCAAAAAAAGATTGTGCATTGGGTCTATAGAACAGAACCTTATGACATCAAAATACTCTAGTTTTAACAGTTCGCTGTAGTAGTTGATGCCATACTTTCTTGACAACTTCTCACCATCTTTCTTTGTCTTACATTGCGATATTCTGCTTGCCTGACGTCTGTGCTGGTTATTCTTACGCTTTTGCCAATTTTCTTCATCAAATCCTGAATAATTTCGCTTTTCACCAAAACTACCTGGAAACTTTTTGAGACAGCGTGAGCATCCCAATTCTGCACTATGGCCTTTAAACCCACAAAGCTTTCTTGATGCTGGTATATCTGAGGAAGTGCACAACAATGCTGCTTTAAATACAAGTGGTATTGTGCTCAGATTTGATACTAATCGAACTCCTTTCCACAGTGCTTTCAATTCTTCGACGAGGGGCTCTAGAAAAGAATTAAGATTCTTCAGTTCCTTCCCCATTGCAGGAATGATGCCAACCACTATAACATTTTCCCATTTGAAACGTTCAGCGCGAGGTAAATTAAGTAAAACTAAATAGAGTACGCCAACCGAATAATCTTTCCTGTGTTTCATTGGCTGAAAGAAGTCGAAGTTAAGCATCAGTCCGTAATTTCTGGGAACATTAAAAAAGTCGTTACCGTTATATCTTTGAAAGTCTTTCCAAAGCTGACCATCAAACATATCTGTCATTTGTTCGGATTCCAAATGTCCTCTTTCTCTCCATTCTTCACATCTTTCTGGAAAGTCCGGCTTTTGAAGTAAATTTTCCAAACAATTTATCAAACTTGCATAACAGTAATAATGAATTGGATAGTACTTAACAACCCTGTTTTTCAAAACAACCCTTTTTACCAACTGTCCGTTACAGATATTCATTTTCCCACGTAAATAATTTTTTCTTGAGCATCTTTTCACAATGTGTTGACCGTGCACCTCACGAACACATTCACCGTATTCATAACATGCTGTGCATTTAGGACAAACAACGTACTTGGTAAAATTATCGCAATCTAGTACGAGAAACTGGCGAATCATGTACAGCGATGTCGGAAAGATTGCTATCAGTTCTGTCAGAAGCTCACCGGTTAAATGGATGTTCAACACTTTAAGAAATTGAAGTAGGAAATGCAATAACCATGCAAGCCCATTGTCACTCAAGTGACAAACTCCTTGCCAAATGAGAATGAAATATAACAACCATTGAAGAATGGAGTTAGCGACCTGTACCTTTCTTCGCTTCGGTACGGGATCTGGAAGAGGTTTCTTCGAAGTGATGTCTTGATCCAGTAGTTGCTCTGACACCTCCGGCCAAATTTCATCATCACTACTTTCGTCTTCCGACAATTCAGTACTGACGTCTTCTAGCAGTTCATCATTTGCCTCATCATGACCACAATTGGAATTTATGTCACTGTCACTGTCCTAAAAAAATGAATAGTAAGAAGAATTACTTGCATATGTTCATCTTCGCATGTTCGCGCTGGCGTTAATGTTTAAAATTCCACCTTACGTGTAGAAACTAAACTTAGTCTAGGGTCTGTACAAGAGTTTGTATGTGTTTCATTTAGCACAGGTAATCTCAACTGTTTTAGGGTAAAATGACCATGACAGTGAGCTGATACTAACTCCGAAAATCAAAAGCAACAGCTGTTCTGAAGTGCTTATAGTATTTAGAAGAATTGCTTTTACTGGTGGTTATTGCAAGGAAAAATTTGTCCGAGTATAATATTTTGCAAGAAAAGAAAATAACTAATATGCCTAGAAATTCAATTTTCTTATTTCCTAAAAATTATCATGGCTTGAAAAACTATGCTTAATTTAGTATAATTATTGTAGATTTCATAAGGGTTATCATTGTTTTCTATAAATGTAATACACTTTATTATTATAATACATTATATATTTTCACAAATAATTTGAAAGTAACATGCAATCTTCGCGAAAATGACAGGGGGGGTCAAATATTTTCACGAAACGTTTGTTTGCCACCACAGCAACCCAACTTAATACATTTATTTTATTTTTATGATTTATGCGGATAAAAAACAATAAATATTTGCGTATTTTTATCATAAATCATAAAAATACAATAAGTATAATATATTTACTTGGGTTGTTGTGATGGCGAGCAATTGCAAACGTTTTCGTGAAGATATTCGTACATAAGGAGGGGGGGTGTTGAGATTTCCAGAGCTCTAGATCGTCGGGGGTAGCATTTTCTGTACAATTAGGTTTGAGTTGGGGGCATTGAACAGGTATGAATATGAGTTGGTTCCATAATGGGATGGCATAAATATAAGCGTATATATTTGAAAGTTCACACTTATATCTGATTGTTGGTCTTATTGATTTACATCAGTTTCTTTTCTATATTAACTATTAAACAAACTGTACTGCAGAAAATTATCGTAAATTACAAATGAATTTTTAGCTTCTGATTGTCGAGTCAGCTTTTCAATGTAAGATACTTACATGGTCATCTCCTGAATTTTCTGGCATATTTGTGTCAGAATTAGTCTTTACTATATCACAAGACGCAGCGGACACACCTAGAAGAAAGTTTATATGCTCATAAGACAAACTATACTAGCATATGATGCCAGAACAATTCACTGCTTACAGTATCTTGCCTTTCCGGCTTTTGATTCATGATATTATTTGTATCGGTCTTGTATATTATTAACTAATTTTACGTTTGGAAAAGGTATGTTTCAAGGAATTTACAAACCTCCGAAGTCGCAACTGTTAAAAGTCGCAACTGTTTCTTCATCTGTATCGGACGAAGATGTAGAAGAACCATCATTTAAGCTTCGCTTGAGTTGGCGAGATGGATCCAAAGCCATATGACGCCGGAATGTTTTTTCTGAAACACTTTGCTTGCAGTGATGGCAAAAAACGTAATTTCCAACGCTATTCATATCGCCAATAATTTTAAATATTTAGCAAGCGTTGTAACACAATAAATTGTTAGTATACAAGAGCGTCTTACTTCTAAACGGCGAGAATTACGGTGAATTGCGTAGAACGTACACGTGTAGTATAGTGTTTGTCTATAGCTGTGACAAATGCGTCGAATATCATCATGTCTCGCGGTTGCTATGACTGCAAATAAGTTTGCCTTTAATCCCCTTTAACATTGCCGCAATAAAAACAATTAATGTTAACCTTCGCCTTTACACTTCCTTAAACTTCAAATTAAAGGCGATTAAATCTCATGGCAGCTTTAATCAAATTTGCAACATGGATTAAAAGTGACTAAAGCAAGTATAGTTTAAAGTCGGTTTTTTGCAGCTTTAAAAGCTGGACTAAATATAACTAAATCTATAGGTAATACAAAACACGTCTTTTAGTCTTATTAAATGCGATTAAATGTAATTTCTTATTTAACAAACTTTAATCAATATATTAAAGGTGTAAACACACATTTAATATCTTTAGTGGTTTTATTAAAGGTCATTAATGACACGCTTTTTGTCCTGTGTGTATTCAAGCGCTTTTGTGTACAAAATTTCGTTTGAATACGACGAGTAGAAATATTTATTTTGAATTTTTCAAAATGTTCGGGTTTTACTCGCAATTGCGTACATTGCGCAATAATTGGCCAATAAGAAGCTCCTGTGGCCAGGATGACGTCAAACTCACGCGTGTAGATGCAATTTGACCTTGCGAATCCATTTCTGGCCTTTCCAGGGTCATACGATACAAGCGTCGCATTGTTTTGACGGTTTTCAGTCGTATTTCCGGTTGGGATTAACTCACTTCGAGCTCACAGTCGGACAAGAAATGGAAATATATTGATAAAAGTTACAGATTTGAAGATACAGGCTTGCAAATAACACTTTAGATAGTGTTTTTAATGGGGATTCTAACAAGACTATTACAAAGACGATATGTTCGAAGGGGCCGAAGTTATTTTCGGCGAAATGTATGGCTAGTCTATATTTTGTTCAGACAATTGCGTAATTTGATACAATATGATCGTGTTTGACTTTCAAAGGCCCATAAATCGCTACAATGTTGATAATGACTAAAACTATACGGAAGAATTAGTTAAATCTTTTATTTCTGAATCGAATGGTGGTATTTCTGTCTTCATAGCATGCACAGAACCGAAGATATGAAATTTCTCACCATCGATCTCTCAGCATCGATATAACTGGGTTGTGATGCAAAAGAGTTAACAAGTTGGAAGTTTGTAAATTGATACAAAAATAAAAGTCACGTATCAACCAGTCTTGCCCAAACTCTGTTCTCTAACTACTGCAGTGTGTTTCCCACTGCAGGGAGCTGGCAGAATCTCAAATAAACAGGAATTTTCCTGATTGATTGTTTGATGAGTAAGTGGAGACAAAATTGAATAATTTCTGGATAATGAATGCTAATGAATAGACAGAAATTAATATTTTGGCGGCACGTGAGCATCACGTGAGGCCCCGGTGTTAGCTGGGACAGGAGTAGAGTATTTAAGGGTGGTATAACATGTGTTCAAGTTATCTAGCCAGTTTCCTTACCACTCGCTGTTGGCTTCGTGTTTTTTTTTCAGGTTTGGTATTGCTCTGTTATGAAATGCAACATTGCAGTGAAATGACGGGAGACAATCGTTTACAAGACAATGAAGAAAGAGACAATTTGCTTTTAACCTCCAGAAGCGTTGCTGTAGCATGGGATGGAGAACACGTTCCAGCCTTTTTTCCCACTGGGTTATTTTCTGGTTTTCGTGTCCGGCTCAGCAACTTGGTGTTGTAATCTATGGTATTACAGATGTTTTCCATCTTTGGTGTGGATAGCCCAGGCAACAGTGGATGGTTTCCCATTAAATGGTGTTGTTGACTTTACGCTCAGAACAATCAGTACATTAATGAAATGGAGAGCAGACATGATACGAACATTATTGACTTAAAGGTTTAAATATTATTGAAGTAAAAGTCGTTTAAAGAGGCCTATTGGCTCTGATAGAAACGTTTTAAGGGAAATATGTCAGACCTCTCAACTTTGCAGAGAAGTTAAGAGTGAGATTGGGGATGTGGATGACACCTTTGTGAAAGTCCGGGGCCGGGGGTCTGAAATGGCATTTCGTACATTATGAGAGTTGGTGTTTTTTAATGAAATACATTGCTTCATAACGTCCTTTAAGACAAGGCACTTTAGTTACAATATCTGTATTTCTGCGACATACAGTAATGAGCTTTAATTCAGCCTTTGATAATTACAGATAGAATTCTGCTTCGACTGATTCTGATTCTGATTCCGCCGTATTTACATATGCATACTATTTTGTATCCAAATTGCGGGCAAAATGTCGGGCCGTATATGCAGGAACATCCGAACATGAATAACACGAGATTATATATTCGATTCGCGATCCGTATAATGAATAATAATGTGCATTTAAGAATACAATAGTATATAATTGAAAAAAATACTATGAAACTGCTATATGTGTGAGATTTACTAAACGTGGCATGAGAGCGTGAGAGTGAAGCGAACTGCATGAGACTCACGCCGAATGCGTGAGAGTTGAGAGGTCTGATATGTAGAATGACTGTTCTTTAGAAATTGGATTAAGTACATCTATGGCATGTAATGACTATTCTTTTTGAAATGTAATGAAGTACATCTGTGGCATGTAATGACTAATTTTTAGAAATGTAATCAAGTACATCTGTGGTATGTAATGACTAATTTTTAGAAATGTAATCAAGTACATCTGTGGCATGTACTGAAGTGTTATACTAGATATAGTATACAACAAATAGGGCTGTTTAATGACTGAGAGAAATAGTTGTAAATAAGTGTGTTTCCCACTGCAGGGAGCTGGCAGAATCTCAAATAAACAGGAATTTTCCCAATTGATTGTGTGATGAGTAAGTGAAGACAAAATAGACTTGTTCTTCATTGTGTGACCCCACAGGCATAACCTTAGTACAATGGGATAAAACTCCAAGATGGAAATGTTAAACTTTTTCCACTCACTTGGCCATTTGCCATAACACCACTTACTCCCAAAAATAGCCCCAAAAGCTAAACTGCCTGCTGCATCAGTGTACAAATTAAGCTTCTTTGAATTAGACCATTTGTCATCAAGGAAGAAACAACGCCCATTGAAATTTGACAAAAAACTTAGCCAAACATTAAGATCAGCCTTAACCTGGTGATTTATACAAATTAGGTGATGCTGCAAGCGAATACCTACTGTTAGATCGATCAAACGATGCAAAAAAGCCCGACCAGGTGTCACAACACTACAAGCAAAATTTAGCAGACCGCAAAGCGACTGTATTTCTTTGAGGGAAACCTTCTTGCGCCGCAATAAATTTATAATTAATTCAGTGCACTTTTTAACTTTTTCATCGGGGAGTCGAGCTTCCTGTGCAATAGAATCTAATTCAATGCCAGCAAAAGACAAGGTAGTATATGGACCCGCATGTTTTGTCAGGTGCCATGGGTATACCAAAAAAGCCACACAATGATAGAAAAAGGTCTAGCTGTTTTTGACACAGCTCTTGAGTGGATGCGACTAGAAAGAAATCATCTAACAGATGAAGAATATACTCAATCAATAATCTCTTTTTGGCAATCCACTCAACAGCTGTGCTGAATCATTCAAAAGTCTTACAAGAGCTAGCACAACTCATAGGCATGCATCGATCATAATAATAGAGAGTTTAAGTTCGACTTCCGATACCAATACTGATACTAGGCTACTAGCAACATGTCATGCACATGCTGTCTACTCGCAAGAAGCACGAGGACAATTGTATTGGAAGTCACCATTACCGAAGTCGGCCTTGTATTGGAAGTCGGGGGAAATGGAAGATAAACCCATATAAATCGGATATTTCATAATTTTTACGATAAACATGTAAACTATTTGTTTATTAGCATCGCCTGAGTCATGTTTTAGTCAGAATTTTAGCTCAGCTGCCATTTAGTATGTCGCACATTTTCGGTGTTCTATATTTTATCTGTCGTGATAACTTAACGCTTTAAAATTCCCGCTACCAAAATGAGAACGGAAGTGAAAACATCGGTATCGGTATTGGAAGTCGAACTTAAACTCTCTATTACTCATTATTCCACTTCATACCCAACAATGGATAATCATTGGGCTGGATGGGAATCAAACGAAAAGCATGTCTAATATAAGTTTTAGCCATAAAACAACCTGGACCTACATTTCTAATAAAACTAATAGCCTTATCAATATTGGCATACTGCACTGTAGTGTGCTCGCTTGGAATGCCATCATTAATAGAAGAACCTTTTGGAAAAGACAAATGGTGAATCAAACGAAATTCTCCTGGATTCTTCTTAGGAACAACTCCAAAAGGAGAAACATGGAAATTATCAAAAGGAGGCGTTTTAAATGGACCAGCGATCCTATGGGCTGCTAACTCTTTAATCAACTTTTCAGTAACTGCCTGTGGCTGTGCCAATGCAGAAGTCAAATTTTTGGCCTCATATGTCTGATATGTGCCCTCATAATGTGGAGAAAAACCATTTGTAAACCCAGAAACCAACTAGAGATCCAAGGATAGTGTGAAGTTTCAAATTAAAAAAGACACTGCAAGAATTATATAGGGTCGCCGACAACCTAGATAAGCTGATGGCTTGCACTGCAAAATAAACAGTTACCAAAGACATTTCATCTCATCTATTGACAGTATTGTCTTTAATGCGTTCGGCACATGAATAGCGAGACGCTTGAAACAACTGGCTAACACATAAAAAATGTCGTGCCTTGTGGAACTGATACAATTTATTTATTTATTGTGATGCTGCACGCAACAACTCGAAATTTAAATTGTTTCACCAACAACCAAATTTTGCATATTCTAAAACT